AAAGAGAGAAGATGGATGCCCCCAAGATCCTTCATACTAATTTCTTCAGCATGAGTCTTGAGCAATCAAAGGTTCCGGATGTCTCATGCATCCAGTAAGCAACGGAGTGTAACGGGTTTTGGTTTCCACTTTTTCTCGCTTATTAAATCTAACATAAACGATGGGTTTGAGGTCTCTTGTCTTGCGACGTTTACGAGGGGTTTGGCCACGAACAGGGTTAAAGATGCTAAATATTTATCAGAGTCTAGTTGAGCAGCTTCTAGGCAATCATCTATTTGCGTAGATGTTCATGTTGCAAACAATTCTTGTTTACTAAGTTAGTGGAATATCTTCATCACTTTGGTATGAGAAGTCGGAGCATGGTTCCGTTGAGTCATCATCCTGGCCTAATCCTTAGAAGGAGATTTCTCCATCCAAGTGATTGAAATCGTGATAGAGGAGTTGCCCTCGTTATCAGATTTTTCTGATTTACGATTGGCAAAAGGTTGCGAAGTTTGCAGGTGGTTGCACGAGTATCGTCGATCTCGGTGTCTTCGTCATTGTCGACGAGAGGAAGAATGGGTTTGTCACGCAACTGTTTCTCGAAGTTGCTGAACGCATGCTTTCTTTGAGCAATCTTCATGGTGAAGGAATAGGTTGAGGGTAGCTGAAAGCTATTGTGTTTGTTAACAAAATGCACTATGCTAAAAGCTAGTGTAAAGATCTTTCGAGTGTTTTGAGTTTGAGAGAATGAAAGTTATGAGAGAGATTAGAAAGCTATAAAAACTAATCAACGAGAGAGATCACCATCAAGGGATCGTAGATCTGGTCTCCCGCGGGAGACTATAAAGTGTGATAGAGTAGGTTGCGGTAGTAATCCTATGTATCTCCACGATCCTAAAACGGAACGCGTGGAAGATTCGTCTAGCATGGATCTAGTAGCGTGGAAGTACTCCACGCTGGCTAAATATCTAGAGCGATGTTTCATCATCAACCTAGTATGACTAGAGCGGTCATTGAGAACCCTGTCTCGAATGATTATTCACGAGAGACTCAGTCATGAGTCGAACGCAAACCCTATCTAGGATCGAGTCGCGAATAAGGCTAAGAGCCGTGTATTGCACTGAAGATGTCTCCTCCCTTCGAATCTCTTCTGTTGGCTGACAACCACCTTTCGATCCAAGGCATTCTACCTTATGTTGGCGTTGGACAGTATGCCTTAATTGGATCAGTCAACAAGAAGCTGAATCAACTATACAAAGAGTAGAGTGATCTGGGTATTAAGACCTGCAGTGCATTAAGACTATTGTAATATTCTGGGCTGATACCTTAAGACTATAATATTATTATGGCTATATAGCTTAAGACCTGGCTGGATCTAGGGCATCCCAGCAGCCAAAGCAGCTACTGGAGCTGCTTTAGGCTTCAGCTGTACCAGTAGCACATCAGGCTTGGCATCAATCATGTTCTCCAATTCAATTACCAAGGTTCCCTTGGCCAATTTGCAGTCTGACTTGGAGCTGAAGTAGATTGTCAACAGGGCAACGATCTCTGCTTTGGTCAGGGAAGCAACAACCTGCTTTCGCTTGAGCTTCTCCTTTGCATTTGGGGCCAGACTGTTGAGGCTTTCTTGGGCTTTGCGCATCTTTTCTAGTGCCTGTTTCTTTTGAAACTCGTCGATTTTGGCCATGCCATCCGTAAGCAGTTGCCTGTTTTTGAGCTTGAGCAACGCCCTCTCATCGTTGACCAGGGCGGCATGGTTCTTAATGTTGCCAGTAGTATCCAGCCTTCTCCGAGCAGCGTTCATCTCGTTGACTGCAACTAGTTTGTTTCCAATGATCTTCCTCTTCACGGTCACTGCTTTGGTAGCTTGGATTAGCTTTGACCGATTGTGTGAAGACATGGTTACGTCGAGATGCTTTGACGGTAACATCTTCGCACTAAACAGTGACCGCTTGTCACACATATGCTGAAACAGTTCCAGTCCCTGTTTTGAAGGTGGTTTAAGCATTAACATATCAAGGCCCTCGTCTGCCTTCTTCCGTTTGGCCTCGGCTGTTTCCACCTCTGGATCTAAAGCAGCCAACGACACAACATCTTTCCCAGGAAGCATTCTCTCTAGATGCGAAGGATCTTCAATTGCCAACTCAATACACAAACGGGCGTTTTGCATTTGAGCGGGTGACACGAAGGCTTGCTCCATCATGGCTTTGATGCATGGGACGGACCAACCATCGTGTTTCTTGTAAGTAGCCAAGGATGCTTTCTTCTCTTCAGGAGTCATGCCGTGCCAGAATGACGGCAAGAGTGCGTACAGATCTGTTACTCCTTCTTTCTTGAATGAATCACCGCCTTGCATGAAGTCCGCTATTTTGACACACCACTCGGAAAAAGGGAGTCTGGTGTGTGGGTTCAAATTGACGGCCGTGAATGAACGTTCCCATGCCGTAGAGGTTGTGGCACGAATGGCGAAAAGACCAACACTAATCAGACACCACTGGTCGACGACTCCACGATTTTCAAATACCGTTCGTCTCAAATAAGACAGACAATCGTTCTTTGCCGCCTTGTCCGCCTTGGCAACAAGTCTGTCATAGCTTGGTTCACATGAGAGGAATCTCCCTCCTCCTTAAGTGACAGTATCTTGTAATCGTACCTGTTCTGTAAAGCAGGAAAAGAGGCCATGTGAGCATCAAAGCCGTCCCAGATTTCCAGCATCCACCACTGTGGGTTGGAAGCCACAATGGGATCAATATTCCGGAGCCCTTTGCACAGAGGAACCGTGAGTTCTTCCCAGGCTTCCGTTGTCATGAAAGCATTTGGCGTCATGATAATGGTCGATCCCAACTTTGCTCCATGGTCTAGCAAAAACTTATCAGTGTAACCATCTTGCTTTTTCTTTCCTTTGAGAAGAACATTTTTTTTTTTTGTTTTTGGGCCCAGTCTCTCCAGCAGCGCTTCCAGTGCGGTACATCGTAATTGAGTCGTCGACTATCACTGGTAGCGCTTCTCATGCTTGGTTTCTGCCGCCGAACCGACCACCTTGGTGGAACCATCGGGACAAGCCATGAAGCAGGTTTCGTCTCCTCCCGTAATAAAATGTTCAATGACTTCTCCAAAGGATTTTCCGGTATGGTTGAAGCGCCCTTGGTTCCTCTGTCGTAGCTGTTCGAAGGCAAAGTCAACGGTCTTGTGCCAACGGTACTGTTGCCCCACATTGATGTTGGTTCTTTTTGTAGTGGAGGCTTGGGCGGCAACAGTCCGAGGCTTGATGATGTTGGGTACGACTTCAAAATAGTACGGTGGAAGTGCTCTGAGGCTTGCTTGCGAGTGAGCTCTGGTTCAATTTCTTGTACCATATCAATACATTCGGAGGCAGAGGCCCCGTCATTGCCTCTATCCAACCTGGCAGCAACTGTCGCAATGAAGATTTGATCCGTTTTGGCAACCAAAGGACGTTGTCCTTGGCCGTTTCGTGATTGTGCGCCTTTTGGATTCGTCTTTACAGACATGAGCTTTGAAAGTATTATAGGGAATACCAACTAGCTTGGCGAATCGAGCCATAGAGAGGTTGACTCTCCATTGGAGTCAAGAGCTCTTCCGCTCTTGTTGAACCACTCCGTCTTGGCCAAATCAAAATTCGGCTTGTTCTTGGGCCCAGACCAATTCATGCGCTTCCTCTTTGGCCCAGCGACCTTTGCGGGAGGAGGAGCCTTCTTGGCTACGGGTATCTTCTTCTTCCTGGCTGCTTTCTCTTTCTCCGTAGCGGTTTTGAATTTGGTGGATCCCTTTGGCCGACCAGGGCCTCTCTTCTTCGTCACAAACACTTTCTCGCCTGCAACTGTCGGCCTTTTCTTGGGACGACCACGGCTCCTTTTCTTTTTGAAGAAGTCCGTTACGGCAACCTGCTTGTAATGATCAACGTGCTTGATCTGGAAGTCCCTATCATGGTCGTAATCCTCTTCGTAATCCTCTTCGTCAATGCATCCGTCCTCGTCCTCAATGCCATCGTCTTCTTCGTCAATGCCTTCGTCAATGCCATCGTCACTGCTGTCGGAAACGGCCATCTTGAGAGGAACGAGTGTCGGTAGAGGAACGAGTGTCGGTAGACGAACGATAAAAGAAGGAGTGTCGATAGAGGTGCTTCGATAGAGGTGCTTTATGCATGTGCGAAGAGACGATAGACGATAGAGGTGCTTCGCTCCCGTAGAGGTGCTTCGCACCTCTATGGGAGCGAAGCAACGTACGATAGAGGTGCGAAAGATACCGCGGAGTTTCACTCGATAGAGGTGCGTACGTAGGATCCTACGTAGATTCAGTACTAGAGGCACGACTGACGTCATTCGGTCTTAATCTGCAGCCAAAAGAATTCGATGACCGTTGACTGCATATCTTCAACCACTCCTAACTCCAGCAATAAGTACACTATGAGGTTGCGAATTTTATGGCATACTCAACTACATGTGTTCTATCGATTCCCCTCTTTACATGTACTATATTCGATATACAGCCCTGAAGAGAATACTCCGGGAAACAGTCGGTCGTAAAGCCCAGATCACTCTAGCTGTCTACACAAATTTTGAAAGTCATTCAGTCAATCCTGCTTGAACGTAAATGGACACAACTCGGAAACTCACCTCCTCACAATGGCGATGGAGTATTCTTCTTCTTGTGGCTGATATAGTTCGTTGCGATTTGGTTGATGATTGCCTTCTGCAATTGAACATGCTGGGCATCACTGTTGAGATCGCCCCATCGCTCCACAGCCTTGCTGATCTGGTATTCGACGTCCTCTCTTCTTGGAGCGAAACCTCTTGCACCCTCCACGAAAGAATCCAAGTCTTCCTCTCTCTCCTCAGCTGTGATGGTTTGGCGGTCATTCTCGACAACTACGTGGTACATGCCAGCATCTTCTGCCTGGTTGCTATTGATCCGCCGTTCAACCATCATGTTGTGCATCACGAAGCAGCCATATGTAATTCGCTTGACATCTTCCAAGTCCCAATATTCAATTGGTCGTGCAAGTATCTGAAACTTACGAACCACTATGCCGAATGTCCTCTCTGAATCCTTTCTTGCAGACTCCTGCCACTCCACAAACATCTTTGCGGCGTGACCGATAGGGTAGCTGATGGTCTTCACGAAGTGAGCAATGGCAGGGTAAATTCCATCCACCAAACACCAAAGCTTGTGGAATTTCTCACCATCCAACTCGAATTCGAAATCAACCTTCTCCATAAACTCCTGCGACAGAAACAACCGATGAAGTGGAGAATGGTCCCAAATATTGATGTCACTCTGAGTTCCAGCATGACCGATGGAACAGGACCAAACCCATGTGTTGTAATCAACCGCCGCTTCAACCACGATGGAGGAATGCTTGTTCTTGCCATTCCGAAACTGCCCCTGCCATGCGACTGGACAGTTCTTCCAGAATACATGCAAGCAGTCAATGCTGCACAGCATCCCAGGTACGCCATGCTTGCGGTGATGGAGCTCAGTAATACGTTGGGCATCAGCTTTGGATGGAGATCTCATGTACTTTGCTTGCAGCTCCGTGTCAGATTTGATGGCTCTGAAGAAGGCTTTCAGGTTCTCTGTAAACGTGTTGGTCCCCATCTGATGATAGTCAATGAAAGCTTGACCGGAGCAGCCAAAGGCGACACACTTCAGAATCCCCAGCACCTTCACTTCTACCGCAATTCCAGGCTTGCCGGTGGCATCCTTCCTATCAGAGGAAAAGAACCTGGGCTCATACCTGATGCAAGCTTGAATGAGTCTTTCAACATGACTACATGGCTGCCTGAATGTCATCTCGAACTGCCGATCCAAGAAGATGGCGTCATTTCCAAGCCAATCTTCCTGTACACACTGCTTTGCTCTCTCATGATTATGCCTCATTGCCCTCCTCTTCTTACCAGGTGCACGCAGAGCTTCTGCTTCGGCTGCATGGGCCTTCCTCTTCCGGTTGTTGCTTTCTAGAAACTTGAGGTACACTGACTGGGTAATGTTTTTCACGTCTTCTTGTTTCCTCACAATGTCCTCACGTATTCCTCTTTCCAAGGCAGCTGTAGCGGTGGCACCAAGCAGGAACACATGGGAAAGAAGCTTGGCCTGGCTTCTGAATAGTTCTGGTCCATGCCGACACACCAATACTGCTAGAAGTGACAGGGAAACAGCGATATCATTCAGTGCTTCGTCCATGGTCGTGATGTTTTGGAGAACAAGAACAAAACAACGGCGATTCAGTCTGGGAGTTGACAGATTTACAGGCGAACTCGCTAATATATCTCAGACCAATGATGGTGACCAAATAACTGCCACCGGTAGCAGCCTCTAATAGCGAGGTTACATGAAAGCTGCACATTAGCGGCTATATTTGCTGCCACTGTTGATGATGCTCTTAGCAGCTATTGCATGCGATACCACAGTATCGTATCTCAGCAGGCCAGGACCAGCGGGAAGATCTGATGAAGAGACTTCAGCCAAAGAAACCCAAACCTTAGTAGTGCGCCTTGTCCAACGGCAGAGCTGAAAATTGGCGGCAGGCTGGCTCTTTCGACTTTGTGACCCGGGGATTGAAGGGTCGTGTGATGCCAACGGCAAACCATCGAACACTCGACATCAAGCAGCTTTGGAAGGGTTGCCAATGGCGTGCCGCGATCAGGCTCTACAGGCATAACACTTCTATCTTCTTACCGGACGCATAGCACCAGCAGTACCCAACGCTCTAGCTAGCTAGAGAGCAGCTTCTCTCTTGACGGGCACTGAATCGAATCCTTACTAGCTGGTTAGAGCTCCGCGTGCATTACAAAAAGAGGCGCAGCCGAAGAGTGTTCCTTGGGACTGGTCGGTGGCTTCCAGGCATCGGGTATTGAATCCAGTGTGGAACCAATTGCAAGCAACAAGAATCGCCAGATTGGAATTAAGTCCTCTGTCTCTTGGTGATACGACAACAAAACAATCTTTCCGCTGGCTGAGCCGAGTCGGAATCGGAAGGTCATCCAACAAATCCAGGCTAAGCAAGCAGGTCACGCAAAGCACCAATCCGCATTGAGCGCTGGTATCCTGACATCCAGGCATTATCTTGGTTGACAATCAATCTTTACAAAGCACCACATACTACCATTATCTGTCGGTATCTGCGGTTGTACCGTAGTAGTCAACCAAGATGAGTGGTGCTGACATCTTTCTACGCAGTGTCTACCAGGATTGGCCTCCTGAGGCATGCAATATGTACGAGCGCCTCGAAGTTCTGGGCCGTGGGTCTTTTGGTATTGTATGGATGTCCCGGAGGACGACACAGCCAGAGGACAAGTGGGACGACGAGTATGTGGCCATAAAGAACATTGAGGTGCCGGATCCCAAGGGTGCTTTGTACGCGGAACGTGAGATCCGGATTTTGAAGGAACTGAAGCACCCCAACGTTATTCGCTTTATTCGAGAGTTTCCGGTGCACGATCAAAAGTCTCGCATTGTGGTTTTGCAACTGGCCCGTGGAGTAAATCTGAATCAGTTGGTCATGACTCGGGGAGCTTTGGGTATGCCACTGGCAAGACACTTGTGTCGTCAAATGACAGCGGCAGTGTCCTATCTGCATGGACGGGCTGTCATTCATCGTGACATCAAGCCAGGAAACTGCATTTTGGAAAATTGTCATCTCGGTCCACACGAGGAAAACGATTGGGTCGATGATGAAAGTATCTGGAGTGATGGAGAGGAATGTGAAAAGGCTGTCAAGGCCAATAAATGGAAGCTCATGCTGATTGACTTTGGATTCGCCCGTGCCCTAGAACCGACAGAAGTCTTTAATCAGCCCCGGAACATGAGGAACTCCATCATGGCAGAATCCAAATCCTTTCATCCCCAACCTCAAAAGCAAATGTCGGCAGCCGACATTGCTGCCGCCGTGGCTCTAGAACATGACTTGTCGGATTCCGAAGAGGACAGCGAAAAAGAGGACGACAGTGTCGATGCAGAAGCCATCGAAGCAGCGGCGGCTGCCATTGGTGGGGTGGGTGTCCCACTCATGACACTCGACGAGGACGAGGAAGATCCTACCGAGGTACCCGAAGAAGAAGAAAAGAATGGCAGCGGCCGCCCTCCACCACGCAAATCCATCAAAGAAATAGAAAACAACTTTGAGGATCTGAGGAAGCCCCGTCCCTCCGTCACGGGACATATCTCACCCCTCAGACCAGAAGAAGTCAAAGAGGTCGAGAAGAAGTTCCCCCAGTCTTCGCCTCCACCAACCACGAAACCGGGAGGTCGACGATCCAGCACAGCCCGGACGAAGATGCGATCAATGAGTGCCTTGGGAACCAAAGCATACGCTGCGCCGGAAATCAAAAAGAAGTTGCGAAAAAAGACTGCCGAAGATCATGGAAAGTCCAATGCTGCTCTGACAGAATGTGTGGCTGACTACGGAATGATTGTCGATGCCTACTCGGTGGGCTGGACTATGCGCGTCATTCTGACTGGAGTCCCTCCGAACTGCACCATCTCGCAGTACGTGCGGAAGATCCAAGAGGAGGAAGACAAGGAGGCCGATAAGAATCAAGGTGGTTTGTTCTGCTGCTGTAGTCCACCACCAATAGAAAAGAAAAAGATTCGCGTCCGAGATGCCCATGACATTCCCAAGGACGCTACCGTACTGATTACACAGCTGACAAAGCCAGATCCTGAAGAACGTATTACTGTTCGAGAGGCACAAACTCACCCCTGGATTGCTGGCGGGCAACACGGTGAACCGAAATGGGAGTTTCCCGTGGGGGATATACCTAGTCAACATGGAGATCCAGTCAAACCGTTAGCGTGTGCCGAGGAACTCAGCGCTCTTGTGGAAGGATACCACGATGATCGTTGATCCGGCTGCCGAACGGTAGTGCTGCTCGTCCTATTTGTGCAATAGTTTTAAAAGCTCATTTTTTTGTGCCCAAGGAGTGCTCATATTATATCTGTACAGATAGCTAGCTTGCTACCTTGTTCTAGCTTCCAGATACGTGATACCTAGAGCCAAACCTTAGCTAAAAAGTAAGTGAAGTCCACAACCCACCTTTTACCTTTTTTGGCTTTTGTATGAGATGCAATCAAGCAATTCCCCCAGTTCCAGGAGTATAGCGGTAGCTTTGTTTAGTCATGAATCTTACTGGAGTCATGAACATAGTCTACACAAGTACCGTACCCGATACAGTGGTCCCTAATGTGACTGACCTGAAAAGCGCACCTTTTTCAATCTCAGGAAATTCTAGGATGGGGGAATTCCCCCAAGCAGTCGACAAGCAAGCGTCACCGCGTCAACCAAGCAACAGCTGCCCGTCATCCTTGTCTTGGGTGAAGATGAAGAACCGAACCATGACCTTCAATGACTCCCAAGTCCGCGCAAGCACGGTCAGTCTGGCCCTCCATCAGGAAGGATCTTTGGTGTCAACTCGGTTGAAGGCCAAGATTTTCCAAGTAGGGTACGGCTCCACGTTGATAAATAGTTTTAATTGCAATCCCACTGCGGATCCAGGCAATGTTTAAGATGTATCTTTTGCTTTACTCTTGGGAATTATCGGAACTTCGGAAAAACAAAGCCTCAGGCTTTAGAGGCATCGCAACAAGCAAAGCCCCCAGCCGGAGTGTCCCGTTGGGTTCTGTCGCCGATAGCCCGTTGCTTGCGCTGCATGATAATACAGTAGGACGTGAATGGAAATCAGAATCAGCAGCAGAGTTACCTCAATCGATATCCACTGTCTTGACGATCTTCGAGTTCATCATCTATCTTCCTGTTGAGAAGGGCACCAGAGGACAAGGAGAGCAACGTACACTTATTCTTTGAAAGCAGCAAGGGAGGAGTTAATGCTCCTGCCATCAAGAACCACCTTATCTTCTTATCCTTAGGCCAGGCAGACAGAGGCGAGGCGGTCATCGGGAGTGTCGAGGAGGAGACTAGCTAGCTTGAGAGACTAGAGAGAGCCACAGGCAAGAAGCTGACAAAATGGCGACGAACTTTGCCTACATGGGCCATCCGCTCTTTGCGCCTGCTTCTCAACAGCAGCAGGTCCAAGTACAGGCGCAACAGCCAGCTCCAGCAGCGGCACCTCAACAGCAGGTAGGTTCTTGTTATCGTTTGTTATTAAGTTGATGGCATTATCAGTAGAGAGGGGAAAAGAGTGACTCGACTCGGTTGGAAGCGAATGGGAATTGTTGAGTCACTTGGGGAGATAATGGAAGAGAAGAGTGAGGGTAGCCAGCTAGAATTGGTGACATGAAGGATTCGTTGAAGCCATGTGGTGATCAGCAGCAGGGAAGCAGAGGTCAGGGTATTGATACCTGTCAAGACTATTGGATACCCTGCCAAGGCTACCGTATGTACGCCGAGTTCCTGCTTTCCCCCACGGGTCTTCTATTTGTCTGACCCTTTTAACCATCTGAGGTGATGAGGGCTACCGATGGTGGCCCAACCAAGGACGAGTTGGGTTATTGGTCGTTGTTGGATGGGAGATAAGACGATGCCCGTTGGAAGTCGGATGAGAGTTGTCTTCAGAGGAGAGTGGCCATACCCTCATTCAAGCCCCACCAACAACCCACTTTCGTCGAACACTGCCACTCTTTTTGGATTCTGATTGTCTACATATGACTGCTTTTGGGCGTAATCTAATGATTGGGCTTCCTTTTCTTTTAACAGGCGGGAGGTGATGACTTCGACTTGAATGAAATATTCGCAGACTACTTCACCAATGAGTTTGAAGACCCATTAAATGCCTACACTGGAGGAATGGCGACATATGGACAATCGGTTGGTGGAACTTCGTTGCCGACTGGAGGAATCAAGACGCAATTTCACTTGGGAACAACGGCTGCGCAAGCACACGCTGCGGCACTGGCTCAGCAACAAGCAAACGCTGCCCCACCCGCGAAGAAGGCCAAGCACGATCCCACCATGGCCATGGTGGCACAGCAGGGTGGTGGCGGCGGTGGTGGCATCACCCTCCCCGTCGGTGTTGGAATCCAGGTGGGGGGACTCGGTGGGGTGGCCCCTCAAACGGCTGCCGGAATGGCGAACGGTGCTGGCGGAGGAAACATGTGGGATCAGAACTATGCAGGCATGTCAGAGCAAGCCATCGCCGAGCGACGCCTAAGAAACCGTGAACACGCCAAGAGAAGTCGAGTACGAAAGAAGTTTATGCTGGAGTCCTTGCAAGGGGAAGTGCTGACGCTTCAAAAGGAAAATGAAAACCTTAGATTGTTAATTCAGACCCATCTGCCGAGTGAATCGCAAGAAATCATCTCAGAGTGTTGCACCACCAATCCTCTCTTTGCGGACGGAGCCGAAGGCGAGGTGGTGGAACCCAAGAAGTCGACACAGTTGGAGAAGTCTGACTTTACACTCATGGAGAGTCTTTCGGGAAGTCAGCAGAACTTTGTACTGAGCGACCCGCGTCTTCCGGATAACCCCATCGTCTTTGCCAGTCCAGGTTTCTACAAGCTGACCGGATACACGTCGAAGGAAGTGCTCGGCAGGAACTGTCGCTTCTTGCAGGGACCAGGGACAGACGCCCGTGCTGTGGAGGTCATCAGGAAAGCTATCCAAACCGGAGCGGATACCACTGTTTGCATCCTCAACTACAAGGCCGACGGTACTCCTTTTTGGAACCAGTTCTTCCTGGCCTCTTTGCGTGACTCTGAAAACAACATTGTGAACTTTGTAAGTGGAAAAGGTTGGAAGTTGGCTTTCGTTTTCAAACGGAAGGAATGTCTGACTTGCGTGTTATGGTTGCTTTTCGTATCGATATAAATCTAGGTTGGAGTTCAATGCGAGGTGGAACCCGAAGTCGGACAATCGGCTCTCGAAGATAAAGTGAACGCGGTGCTCCCACTGGAAGAGAAAGAGAAGAAATAAACATCGAAGGTCACGTCCTTCTGTCTGTACAGAGGTTTCTTGCGTGGTGTGGCTGCGGTTCACTCAATGTGATGTTCTTATTGGATATGGGGACACAATTATATCTTATCTTTTTTAGAGCTACTTTCCATAGGCCATCAAACCAAGAAACGTGTCAACGGGTTAACGTGGAATGTTAAAGTCAATCAGCCGACCGCAGCCGGCTCAGTCAATACAATCGCCGCGTTCTCAAGGAGCATAGGTTGAACCATAATGTTAGTGTTACAATCATTTAGTGGACATCTGTAGTTGTTAACTGGCCAGCAGAGGACCGAATGGAATCAAATCATCCGTAGCGCGACATCGTTGCCGTGAAGATCCCCCGAGAGCCGCTTTTGCCGGTTACGATCGGATGATGATTCTTAGTATCTGGCCTGTTTTGGTTTGTGCGCAAATAGGACACTGGCATAAAAATGAATCGGTGGATTCGTCCGCACAAACATCGCAAAGCGGCGAATTGCTGCAAGGCACCAGCCGATGTGATTGACGATTCTCCCCGCAAGCGCTACAGGTGTCGACACAGCTTGAAGGTTCCCCGCCCTTGCTCGTCTCCGCCTTGATTTCATCCGTCAAACCCAACCAAACGTCTTCTTCGTTCAGCAAGCACTCGCTGTGGTCAAAAACCATGTTTCCTTCGTCAAAGCTCGGCATCTTTTGTTTCTTTCGTTGTTTCCTTGGTTGTTTCTTGGGTTGTTTCTTTCTCGATTTGTGACAACACGGCATTTCCGGCTTTTTCTTAGGCACGACTGGCTCTTTGGAAATTCTACAGCTCTTGCTCCACGCTGAAAGACCAGTCGCGCTTGCAGCTTGCGAGTTTGGGAGGTGACAACGCTGGCACAAAGCAAACTCCAGACCGCGGAATGGACCCTGAAGCAAGCATTTCCACGTTTGGCCACCTAACGGAGCCTCCAGCAAACCTTGGCCAGCCAGGGCGGACAAATTCAAGGTCCAGATACAGAACCCCACAGGGCCAAATTCAGGGTCCAGGGCTCTGCAGGTTGTTGGAGCAAAGCATTGCAGGTTGCTCCAGTCAACGAAGGGAAGCTAAGGCGGGGGAGGGTTCTTTTTCGAGAGAGAAGACTCTGCTGGGGTTCTGTACCGTCCAGCACTTCTAAGACGGCAGCTTCCGAAGGTTTATAAGTTTGTACTCACGCTACTGCACGTAGCACTTGCACTTCACGATCTTTCGTTGCACTGTACGGCCGTACTGTCCCTCTCTCAATTCATCCGAACCGTCCGGCAGCTTCCGAAGGTTTAAAATTTGTGGTCACGCTACTACACGTAGCACTTGTACTTCACGATCTTTCATTGCACTGTACGGCCGTACAGTCCCTCTCTCAATTCATCCTTACCGTCCAGCACTTCTATTCTCCGGCTAACATTTCTTTCACTATGAGTTCATTCTAATAATTAATAATCTTTGCGTTCCTGATCTGATCTATTCTCCGGCTAACATTTCTTTCACTATGAGTTCATTCTAATAATTAATAATCTTTGCGTTCCTGATCTGATCCCCAGCATAGCAATGCGGACCAAGTGTTAGCCCTACAGCTTCGCTAGCAAGCAAAGAACCCGGAACGTAGACTCTTTCTTTTGCAACCAAGAGATCTGTGTCTTTCAAGGAGCCCTTGCCATTGGCCCTCTTGGCTTGTGATTGCACAAAACCAGTGATGTCTTCGACCCAGACAATATCCTTCCCATCGCGAAATGTGTCGACGCCTCTCAAACCAAGCTGTACAGCCCTTCGATATGGGTGACGATCACCGTTTGGGAAGTGGTCAGGGTCCCACTGCAACCGCACCGTTCCCTGGACACCACGAACTGATCCTTTTCTGCGAGCATTTTCTAGATAGCCGTCAAACGCCTCTCGCTTCAACCAGATTGCAAGAATCCTTTCTTGATTGGGCCGCGATGCCCAATTCGCACGGAACATCATCCACAGGAAGTTCGTTTTGATCCAGGTCATTCGTGTGGGGTTGTAAGCGGGACACCCTTCGAACTTCTGGTGCTGGACCGCGTACTGAGCAATCTCGGGACGAAATGCCTGGTAAACTACGATGCTGTCTTCGTCAAATTGTGCCAATACGAACCGTCCTCGACCAGGCCAAACTTCGCGAGACTGGCGGTAGTGAGGCTCCGCTTGCCATTGTTTTGGTGTTGTAAGGGGTGTTGTATCATCTGTTACAGTCGATTCGTTCGACTTGTTCTCCTCTGGTATTTCAGCAGACAACATGCTCTCCTCTGTTGGTTCGGTCGACGTTCTGCTCCGATGCTTGGGTGTTTGTTCTTCCATTGAAACTTTGGTTTTTGTGCTGGAGGTGTCAATTTCGTGGTGTGGTGTTGTCCAAACGTGGATACCGGTACCGCACAATATCGATACCGTGACGTGGCTCTTTGTTGCTTCCTCTCCATGTTTTGGCAACTAACTTTGCAACAAGTGCAGGACTCCAAGCCTGCATGTTGGTGGCTACCCACGCCCAAGTCTGGTACCGTACCGATTGGTTGTAAAATGCATCCTTAATAGAGGTTTAAAGCCACAGGTTCCTGGTGCTTAGCTAGATCCACAAGTACGCCATAATCAAGGTAGCGAAACAACCAACTCTGTAGCCAATGGCGGAAACACCACTAACGGAGGCGGTTGCCGAGAGTGCATCGCCGAAACTTTCGGGAGGCGGGATGCTGTCTACTTCTTCCTGGTCTTGGGCTGCTGGTTCCGGTTCCTCTTCTTGGGCAGCAACTGCGGTTTCTGCCTCCTCGGGTGCTGGTTGAGTTTCTGCATCGTCCTGTGCGGTTGCAGCCACAGGTTGGTCTTCTTCGATGGGCGATGGAGCGGGCGTTCCTCGTAACGAGGACCCAGACTCTGCCGCAGGTGTTTCAACATCGACGCTCACCTGAGGAATTGCATCTGTACCAAGGTAGCACTCAGAGTTTTGCTTCCCGAAGTGGCGGCCCAAGTCATCGTCACTCTCCAAGATTCCACCTTGTGTGTAGTTGGCAAAGCACGCATTGTCTAACCAGTCCAATTGGTAGCCACACATCATAGGAAGGGTGAATGAACCTTCAGGAATCTCGACCTTGAAGACTTTGCGAGGATAGTAGTACTGTGATGGGTGGGAAGAAGAATTGATGAGCCAAAACGATGCAAATATCAAGCTTTTTTCAGCGAAACACGTTGCCCCGTACCAAGAAAGCCATGCACATTTCCTCCTGGGAAGCTAGTCCGAACACGGTGTCTTGGTTGCCTCGGTAGAAGCACGAAGTGCGAAAAGAATCACCGGGGTGGATCTCGTAAGGATCTTGCTTGACAGGGACGTTTCCGTTCTGATCAAAGTCCCAGACCTCAGTAGCTACATGAAGAATACGGAACCACGACTTAGAAACCGAAGAAGAGCTTCCATACAAGGATGAATGCGGTCACCTCCATAGACATACCTGCTGTGCGGATCACAGTGCCGTTTCGGATATGCTCGTTTGTTGTTCTGAAACACGATGTGTGAGCGGCATGATGCTATCATGATGCGGTTGTTACGGGCGTGCCAGGCCATCTTCTTCACGTACCTGGTCCCAGCAATGTGCATGTGCAGATATTCTCGAATGACGGTCACAGGCTCCCCGTCGCTCAGGTACAAGTCAGAACAACTTCCGGGGCAGTCAAAGTGATGAGAGGAAAGCCCATCTCCGACATGCTGACCGAAAAGAGCCACCATGGGATCTCCCACCTGGAAAATCCCCATCTCAACAGGTCTGGGCGTGGTTGTGTAGTAAATTCGAATTCCACTATTGTCAACGACGTCGCGTTGCATACCTGAGAAAATCGACACAAACGACTGTAAGGATCTAGGACTGTCACCAGGAGTAGATGACAAAAAGGCACTTACGAGGGTTGTCATAGTGGATCTCAATGTTGAATGCTTGGAACCCATCTTCTCCAAAAAGATTGGCTCCTAGGAATTCGGGTAAGGCGAAGCCACCATCACCAGGTGCCCATGCTGTAGAAGTGCATCACGGGCGAAGCTATGAGACAAGCTGGATCGCGGTCATCCCAGCTCTGAGAAGCTACACCACTTACCAAAAACCATCTCAAGCCCTGCTCCATTGTCACATGCGTTGTCGGAAGCATTGTAGATTCCTGTGACGATATAGTGGTGGATGAAGGGAGCCGAGGGACCGTCGTCGACAACAGGATCAAAACCAATGATACTCAACATGTCGGTTGTGTTAGGAACTCCCTGAGATATCAAATCGCTCCTGGTGAAACAGAAGTCTTCATATGTGGTCGAATTCTCTGGAATTATATATCTGTTTGACCCCACAAAGAACGAACCGTCGGCATTACGATTCATGTTCTCGTGAAAGTCAGGAATCTCCACATCTTGCTTGAAGAGTCGAATGGAACCTCGAGCAACGCTGGTTCCATGGAAGCTCACGTCAGGGGTATCACCCCAAGCGGCGATGATCCTTGTCTCTGGCACTGCAATGAGGCTGTCGCGGATAAGTTGGATATCTTGGGCATCATCGGTGACCAGCTTGCGGCGGGTTTCGAACATGACGAATTCCTCGCTCTCTTCACCCTCAATAGCTTCAGGGTTGAAACGGCTGTCGGAACGCGAGATCGCCGTTGCCAAGGAAGGAGCCGAAGCGTTCACATAAACCCAATCATGTTGGCATGAGTCCTCCTGAGGATAGGGGACTTCCACAACGTAAGCATCCACAATCTTTCCGGGGTTGTTGATGGAGAAGAGAGCCATGTCAGAACCGAACATGCCTGACGAACATTTTGAGAGACAGATTTGGCAAGGAGATCAAAGTGGGGAGGGGTGAGGAGAAACGCTTGAAACGAGGGAGATCAAGTGATTGAAGCTCCAACTCACCTCCGGCATCCGAGAAACCAAATCCAAGCCATCCAGAGGCTCGGGCGGCCACTGCCAAATGGATGTATTCCTCGTCCACACGCCAGTGCACTGCAGCACCAGAAGCCTGATCGATTGAGGGCATGTAGACAGAGTTGTCGTACCTCGTTTCGATGTTCTGGTTGCTGAGCCAGGTGAGGTACGCAGCATTGTTCACGGCGCCAAAGTAGGTTGGAGGGTTGTCTGCAATCTGCAGACCACGGGACACGGGGAGCGCCAGAGACGCAACCAAGGAGAGAAGAGCTGTGATTTTCATTGTTAGTAGTTTTGGATTCCAGATCATGGAAATCGATTTTATGATCCTCACCTCGAAGCTTCCTGGCAGCCCAGGATGCGAGACCCAGATTGCTTGCATATCCTCATATCTTCATCAATCAATCTCCATGCTGAGTCGTACAGAATTTTTCTTGGTGATTTCACCTCTTGAAGACTCAATCATCCTCATCATGAAGAGCTTGGACTTCAAAAGATGATGGTCCTGTAGGCCGAACCAAGAGGAAAAGATTCCAGGATATTCTTGCACCAAATAGCGAGGCAAAAAGACTTAACGATGAATGATAAATCCTTTCATGCCAAAGCGCCGTTTGCACCGTTCAACCCTCCAGCTAGCATCAAGAGAGCTCGTAGCAGATACGTTGCACCCTCGAGTAGTACTGTAGTGTAAAGTGTAAAACATTCATGTTGACATGAATGACGGTCGGTGCATCTTTCATCGTACAGTACCAGGTTCGTACTGGTATCCAAAAACATCAGCTCATCATCCCAAGCTTGAGTCCCACAGAACCACTGCGAATACCATGACTCACGCAAGCGAGTACGTAAGATCTACGGACTTGGTCCTTCACTGCGAAGGAGCAGTAGTGTCAGCGGTACCAAAAGCAACCAACGCGACTTGGCCAAAAGATACCGACGAGTGGGACTCCAGCACAAAGATCCAGCTCTCTCCGTAGGTGCAGGAAAGTGCAAGGATATTGTCAGTTCCTCGCTTCGGGAGCTTGCCAGTACCCTTTACTAGCTAGTCTAGTCTACTAGCTACCCAGTTGAAATCATTCTTGGAGGTGATGGCTGCTTCATCAGAGCCTGCTTTCGTAATTTGGTCACTCTGCGTGAGGTCCCGGGAGCTGTTGAATGGCAAGGTTTGTGCTTTTGTCTGATTTGGAACATGACTCGTGTCCTGTGTCACGATGGTACCAGGTACTCTCGTTGTCTAAACACAAGACTCGTCACCAAATCAGGTCGTATGAGAGTGTTGCATGACATCATGAACACCCCAAACAGAACTCAGATGAGATACTTCTTTTAGTATAGCTCTCGTTCTGCATCCACAACAAACCATACTCGATGACGATCTACTTCCGATGATATATCAATGTGATTGTGTGTTTTCGTGTTTTCATCAAAACGTGCAAAAGATATCGTATCAAGCAATATCCAGCGCCATAACTCGCAGGGAAAATTGGACGTGGAATTGTGACAAACTTTGCTTGAGCACAGCAAGATGAGCAAGAGAGACGACGACTGTGGGACGCCCTGTAGGACGTTTGGCGATACTTGACGGCACCGGCGGTGACGAGCTCCAAAATGGTTTTACCGATATCATGGGGAAAGGTAGCACTTGGGTCTGAGTGTCCTAGCTAGAGCACCGTTTGGGGTGGCCTGTTTTCGGGCGAGAGGCGTCTTTGCGTGAGGTGTCTCGAGCCGAGCCCGAGGGGCCCCGTGTTGTTTGGCATAATGCAAAATCGGCACTGTGGATTGGTTCCTGATAGCACAGAAGGCACCGGGAGAATTTTGCGTTGCAGAAATCCCCAATTGAAATAAAAACATGATGGCATGGTGGCCTGGTAGTGCCAACACAAGGCAAGAAAATGGCGATTGTCTCATTGCAATTACCCGGACCGGTAGAGAGCACCGCCACAAATTGTTTAGCGGATCTTGGCGGCATCGAATGAGGAGGTTCCTCTTCCACTCTTTGCTGACAAAAGCCAATGCCCGTTTTCCCCTTTGCAGGATTTTTGTTGCAACCAATTTAAGGAAGTAGACTGACTAACAAACTCATCCCTTGGCTTCCCAGAGAATTCACGGATTGTTGTTCAAGCGGAGGCTCGGATGTCGATGCTCTAGTATGGAGCGTTCCAAATAATAATTCGCCCAATAGTCTTGGTCTTCAGAACGCACAAATGGAGGCTTCAATCCCCATTTGGCTATGCAGGCGTTGAGATTCGTGCATATAGGCACCATCGCACATGCGCTGTCGCCATCGTCGGTGGTCGATCGCAATGGCGGCAATGAAGTGTCTGGGTCTGTTCTTGCTCTCTTTGCCTGAGGCGGCGAGGTCACATTTCGTTCCCAAGCGACATCTTCAGACTGGAGTGCATAGGTACGGATTTGAACCTTGGAATACTGGCTGCTTTCGCTCATATTGACTTTCGTCGTTGTGTTGAACTCCATTCAAGGCGCTTTTGTGCTGTCGTTGCCTTCTCGCGGTTGGCGGTTTCGGCTCCTGGAAGCCGACAGAGTTGCTTTTCCTCTGCTGCGACTTCCTTGATCTATCCCTTTACATGTAGAAAAGACTGCCAGGACCAGGGAAGAAAGCACGGGAGTACCAAACAGAGATAGGTGAAGTCGTACAGCTAGTACTACTAGTATGCAACTATTGTCGTTCATGTATGAAGAAGAACAAGATTGTACAGCTATGGAGTACGCAAGTGCGTACCAGGGCATTTGACTGGGCCTGTCATCATCTGGTGGTCATCAAAGTATCGCATGTGGTCTCAACCCTCAAGGCCTTCGTTTCCATCGTACCTCACGTCAATTTTGGTTTGGTTTTGAAGCTCATCAGGAATGAAGCCGGCCAGCTCGTTGTTCTCCAAATTCAAGAGTTCCAATCGTTTCAAGAGACCTAGCTCACTTGGGACCGTGGATGTAAGCACATTATTGCTCAGATCCAGTTTCACCAACGGTGCCATTCGTCCAAACTGAGATGGAATGGCACCTGTAAGGCGATTTTTACTCAAGAAAATCATGTTCAAATTCTCTGTGAGCGATGTCAATTCAATCGGGATTGTGCCATTGAATTTGTTCATATCCACGTGCATTGCCACGAGCTTATAAAGAAGGCCAACTTCGGACGGGATGCTTCCCGTCATGGAATTATCCCTGAGCGTCAAAACCTGTAGCTTTGTGACAGCCCCCAATTCACTGGGCAGTGGGGTGGCAATGTCGTTCGTGAACATGTCCAGCAATTCCAGCCCTGCCATGAGTCCAACCTCGGTCGGAAGGCTCTCAAGCTTATTTTCAGACCAAGCCAGAGCCTTCAGGTAGGTTAGGTAACCAATTTCTGAAGGGATGCTACCAGAGATCCTGTTTTGCCTCATTTCCCAGTGTGACAGCCGAGACAATTTACCGATTTCTGTTGGAAGAGTACCAGTGATTCCATTGCCATTCAAGAAGATCCCCAAAAGATTGGACAGCTGCCCCAAGGCAGAGGGAATGCTACCAAAGAGTCCGCAGTTGTTCAACCAAATAATCTGTAGAGATGGAGGCAAGAAAGTCATACTGTCATCCGTGAGGGCCAGCAAATCTGCCAGATTCTGTCTCAAGGTATTGTCTGAGAAATCCAATCCTTCCAAGCCTGTCAGATACGATAATTCGGGTGGTAACGAGCCCTTGAAGCCTCTCTGTTTTGTCAGCTTGATAAGTTTGACGTTTCCATCTGGATGGCAAGCATTGTCGTCATACGCCATCCATTCGCATTCATCGAGGTCATAGTCCAGCCAATTTGCAACTTGTGGGTCTTCCCAGCCAGGACCACCAAATGCATGGTAAAAGACTGCAAGGGCGAACCGTTGCTGGAGCTTCCACGTTGTATAATTTGCCACATTTGGGTCATTCGATATCCAGCCATATGCTTTGTACTGAGGAGACGAAGTGTCCGTCAATGCATACAGCGTATCAGGCGTAAGGATGGGAATCAGATTGGGATCAATGTCCACTAGAGCTGGTAGAGTTGGAGCTGCTGTAGGAACAGCTTCCGCGGCATCGTCATCCCCACCTCCTTTGGTGGCCATGGGAATTGCAATGGCCAAAATGATAATCAACAGGAACACGCCACAAGCAGCAAATACGAAAGTCTTGTACTGCGGGCCAAATAACTTTTCCAAAGGATTGTCGTTATTTCCGCCGGCATTGATGTTTCGAGTCGAATTTATTCGATGACAAGACGTGTTGATCATGTTGGCTTCTTCGTCGTCACGATCGTGCAACGTGGGTCGATCTGTTTCGGTGTGTCGATCCGTTTCCGTGTGTTCTTCGACCAACGTGTCCGGCAGGCCATCTGCCGACACTAATTCATTGCTGGATGCGTTTGCTGCTGCTGCTGGTTGGTCTTCTTCTGTGAGACTGCGTCCCAAACCTTGCAATCGCGCGGAACGAACTCGACTGTATGCCGCTCCAGGAGCTCCTCCATAGGCTCCGGGTCGTCGTGCCCCCGGTGGCAATCGGTGCTTGACCGGCATATCGCTATTGTTGCTGGCGGCGGCTTCGGGTAGTCGGGCGACACCGTCGCCATTACTGTTGTCGTGAAATTCACGAGAACTGACGGTGGCTCGTTCCTTTTCGTCGGCTTCGTCGACGGCGGCATTGGCGGCAGCACCGGCGTCACGCTCCGACAATTCTCGTGTGGCTCTTGCTCGGACGGCACCCTCCAAAATGGCCCGCTCCGCCGCCGCCACTTCCGCATTCGCAGCGTCGCAACGCTCCGTGACAATGCGTCGTAGACTGAGTTCTGTAGCCTTGGCTTGTTCATCTTGTTGTTGTTGTGAATTTTCATTTCTGGCGGCAGCTGCTGCTGCCGGTGGTTGCTTTTCTTCCTCCTCGTTACTACTGTTGCTATTAATATTATTGATGTCCACCGTATTGTTTTCTTCTTCTTGACCATCTGTTTGTTGCCTCATTTCTTGGCGCAACGCCAATTCTTCCTGCTTGAGTTGATTATCCTCCTGATCATGATGAAAATTTCGAGGCGCACTCTCGTGTTCGACACTTCTCTGTCGAATAATGTTTCGAAGACTGGGATCGAGAAACTCGCCGGATTCATCATCTTCGGCATCGTCTTCTTCTTCTACCAAACATCTCCGAGCAATCCGTCCTCCTTGGAAGGCTTCCTTGGGACGATCTGCAGCCGCATAGTCGCGGGAACGTTTCTCTGGTGTTCGCTTGTGAGCTACCGATGCAGCCGCTTCCGCGAGGGCATCGTATTTGTTAGAGTCCACAGCAGGAGGAGGAGGAGCAGCAGCAGACGTCTTTCGTGTCAGAGGTCTTGTGGGTGTCTTTGCCGGTGCCGTAATGGAGCGCTGGTACCGTTTGTGCTTTGGTTTGTTGTTAGTAGTGTTCGTAGTACTAGTAACAGATGACGAAACATTCGTATCACTGGTCCGAGACCTACTGGGAAACGGCTGCACATCTCCAAAATCTTGGCGCAATCTCCTCTCTTCTTCTTTGGCAGCGTCAATATCATCCGAGTTGGTGGTGGTTCTTCGGATACCTCTTTCGGCAGCCCGCATTTCGGCATTGGCAGTTTCGCATCGCTGCATGACCAGCTGGCGCATACTGGTGGTGAAGCTGCCTGAATCACCTCCATTGCCATCAATTAATGAGGGCTTGGGCTTGGTCTTGCTGTTGCGAAACCGACGAGGGACGCGGTTGCTACCATTGGGTTTACTTTGATTGTTGCTTTTCGAAGACATGGTTGGAAACGTATAATATTATCACCTCAATGGATTGGAGGTACCGGTAGCACTGATCAATCGATCTGTACCGTGTCGATCTATTTGGTGTGCTGGAACAAAATACAATGAACTCAAGAATCTTGGGGACGTGACAGTCCAAATGCAACAAGGCTCTGTTTTTCGTTGACGCTTTGACAAGGTTCCTCGCTTTGATTGTTTGCAGGAGAACCCCTAGCTAGTAGAGAACCCTACTAGACTATGGCAGCTTCACCAGGTTGAGTTGAGACAGTTTCAGCGTTTCAGCCATCGATGGCCAAGCGCGAATAGAGATCTTACCTGTAAAATAGAGAAGATGGGTTCTTGTTCGTGGCAGGAACAGCGCTGCGCTGCGGTATGCATTACCTGTGCAGGATTGCCAAATCGCGGCTATGCTTGTAACAGTACCAGGTACCAGGTACCGGTGCCGAAAAGTCACACCGGTACGTACAGAAACGCGATACAGTTCTGAAGTTTTACTAAATTTTTAAAAGAGCGGACAAGCCGGAGAAGACTATTAATAGCTACCAGAATTAAATAATCATGACGCACGATTTACACATTGAGATGTAAAGTGCGCCATGGTGCCAAAATCGTCGCCAAAGTTGTCCATACAAGCTCACAGCCGCTCTAATAGGTTGTACTGAGACTAGCTATAGTACAGTACCGTAGCCATGCATAGGCGCGAACCCATGCCACCTTTATTTACGTACATGTACTTGAATGATTCAACCGTGCGTGGCTTCTGTGCTAAATTAAGCCAGCCAGCCGAAGCTGGACCTCTGTGGAAACTCGAGTCGTGCTACTTTTCGTCTCCTAAATCCTTTTGATCGTCTCCTATTTAATGGATTTCGTCTCCTAAAAATAGGAGACGAAACGGATCGTCTCCTAAATCTTTTGTCTCCTCTTAAAACGTCTCCTATTTTCAACGGATCGTCTCCTATTCTCAACGGATCGTCTCCTAAGTGTACCATGTAAACTGTATGGTATCATCTCTTAAATCTTTCGGATCATCTCCTATTTCGAAATTTTCGTCTCCTAATTGGAATGTCTCCTACTGAATCGTCTCCTAAATATAGGAGACGATTGCTTTCGTCTCTTAAATCATTTCGATCGTCTCCTATTCCTCGGTGTATCGTCTCTTAAGTATTTTGCCACGAATGACGTTTCCACAGAGGTCCTGTGATACGGCCACGCTGGATTCTGCAGGCTTTTTTGCTTTTAAAAAAAGAGAAAGCAAAGGAGAGTCCAAATTCAGGATTAGGTTCCATGGGATCAGGGGCGAGAAATTGAGGACCATTTGGGGGGCCATCCTCCGGATCGTTAGACAAGTAAGGTATGCAACTTAGGCAAAGCCTTGATCTCTGAGGCAATGTCGCCAGTGATGGAATTCTGTTCCACCCAGAGGTCGGTCATCTGGGCAGCAAGGCAAGGAACCAACCAGCTCATTGTAGGGCATGTCGAAGTGTATCACGGATGTCATGCGACTGCATTCGGTAGGCACACGGCCTGAGATGGAATTGGTTGCCAATCCAAACCATTTCAAGCCACCAAACTTCCTACTTCAGATGGCAACGTGCCAGAAATAAGAGAATACTGCAACCTAACAAATCAAGTGTCGTCATCTTCCTCAGCACACCAATCTCGGAAGGCAGTGAACCAGGAAGTCGTCTGTTGCCCTCCAGGTCAATGCGGATAAGTAGCGTCAGGATTCCTATACTCGTGGGTATACTTCCCGAGATAGCATTCAAATTGATCCCCAGCCAGATTGTTAGACAAGTAAGGTATGCAAATTAGGCAAAGCCTTGATCTCCGAGGCGATGTCGCCAGTGATTGAATTCTGTTCAACCGAGAGGTGGGTCATCTGGGAAAGGAGACCTAGCTCACTCGGCAAGGAACCAACCAGCTCATTGTAGGGCAGGTCGAAGTGTATTACGGATGTCATGCGCCCGCATTCGGTAGGCACGCGGCCTGAGATGGAATTGGTTGCCAATCCAAACCATTTTAAAGCCGCCAAACTGCCAACTTCAGTCGGCAAAGTGCCAGAAACACTGCAACCTAACAAATCAAGTGTTGTCATCTTCCTCAGCAAACCAATCTCGGAAGGGAGTGAACCAGAAAGTGGTCTGTTGCCCTCCAGGTCAATGCGGATAAGTTGCGTCAGGATTCCTATACTCGTGGGTATGCTTCCAGAGATAGCATTCAAATTGATTCCCAGCCAAAGCAGATTTCTCAGGTTACCAATTTCCGGAATGGTGCCTTGAAGGTTGTTCTCGGTGAGACCCAGTAAGGTCAGGGATGTCATGAGATTAATCTCCGCAGGGACTTCACCACTCAAATCGTTGGTTTCCAGCTTCAATTCCTCCAATGCAGTCAGTAAACCGACCGTTGTGGGCAATGTTCCCGAAAGAGAGCTTTCTGTCAAAATCAAAGATCGCAGTCCCGTCAACATCCCAATCTCACTTGGAAGTGAGCCTTGCAGACGGCAAAGAGTACAGTGTAGAACCTTGATACTCGAAGGCAGGGCTTGTTCTCTTATGGGGAACAGCACTTCTAGTGGCGAATTCAATATATTGTTGCTAAAATCGATGCTTTCGAGTTGTTCCAAGAACTGGATCTCTGGTGGAATGGTTCCTCGAAAGCCTGAAAGTCGAGAGAACCTCAACTCTCGCACGTGCCCACTCTCTGTGCAAGCATTGTCATGTGACAGCCATTCACACTCTGGGATATTGTAGTCCATCCAGCCTATTGATTGTTCGTTGGTTTCTGGCCATCTCTCTCCATTCATGGAGTAATAGATTGCTGCCAAGGCGAACCGTTGCAGCTTCTGCCATTCGGAATATTTCTCCCAGTTGAGATCGTCGGCAAGCCAAGCAAATGCCTGCGATTGCGGTGTCCCTGGGTCGTTCAGCTTCACGAGAGTCGCCTCGGGAAGATCCGGAAGAAGACTGAGGTCAAAGCCCACTGCGTTTACTTCGGAGGTCGTATTTTCTTCTTCTCCGGGGCTTTGCACGGTGGGCGTTTGCACAACAGATTCCTCCGAACCGCCACTGCCTGATGCAACGACAATCACAACAATGACAATCACGATAACCACAAGAAAGGCACCCAGCTGCATAAAGCACCTGTGAATGGACGTTGTTTCCTTCTCATCTTCAATGTTGCGAGATTGTTCAATGTCGCTGTCTTGGCGAAATGGAGCGGGCTCGTTTGCAAAACTACCGCGCCCCAATCTTTGAGCATTCTGAGTCTGGGATTGATCAGTCAAGTGCAAAGAAGACAGTCGATCGTAATCAAGCCCATTTGTTCCGGTATAGGCACCTGGTCGCTCGGCCCCCTCTGGTAAGGGCGCGTCCTTCAGTGCAACTCCTTGTGCACTGTACCGGACAGCATCAGATGGTGCGGAGGAGAGTTGTGTTTCTGGCGGATGGTCGAGATGGCCAACTGAGTCGTAATCGACGACACTGTCACGGTGTCTTTGTTGCTGGTCTTCAGGGATGGTTCGAACGTTGCTGTTGCTGTCGACATAGCCGCCGACGTAGTTGTTGCGAGAATTAGTTTGAATACCTGTTACAGGACCTTTTGGTAGAATCGTGCCGAATTCATTGCTGCGCTCGCAGCCTGATTGGAACTCATCCGAGTTCATGATTTCGGCTCGATAACCGTCATTGCAAACGGGAATTGTCCCGTTGTCAATCAAATCCATCATGAGCGATTCCTGTCCATCCGCAGTCGCAACAGATTCGTAGCTAATTCTTCGATGGCGCTCTGCGGAGATAATTGGTGGTTGCGTTTCTGTCGTCGGACTGTCGTTGGAGTTGCCAGCCGCAGTTCTTCGGGCGTGATCCCTCATCGCTCGCAAACCAGCAGTCGACGGCACGGTGGTGAGTGCTGCTGGAGGAATGCCGTTGTCTCCATCTTCAGCACCACTATTATTGCTTCTGTTATGATGGCTGCTACCATTGGCCAAGGAGTCATCTGCACTTCTGTTCCCACGGAGTCCACGACGCGTTGTAGCGCCCGAAAGGCGAGCAGGAGTGCTGCTATGGTGGCTGGAATTGGTATTCAAATCTTGTGCCTCCACTCCATTGACGGAAGCCTGATGACTGCTGTCGGAGAGGCGAGACTTATGCTGACTCCCAGAGAGAGTTCCATCTTCTGATTTATTCTTTCTCAGGCCACGACCTTTGACTTGCACAACTCCCGGAGAAACTGCCTTTTTGTGGTAGTTTTGGTAGCCAGAGGAATCACCAATAAAATTATTGGTCTCGCCACTGAAATCAGCACGGAACTGCTCATTGGTGTTGTTGCTGCCTCTGTGATGGCTACTGTTGGAGAGGCGTGACTTATGCTGACTCCCAGGGAGAGATTCATCTTCAGATTTATTCTTTCTCTGACCACGCCCTCTCACCTGCACAACTCCCGGAGAAACTGACCTTTTGCGTTGTTTTTGGTAGCCAGAGGAATCACCAATAGAATTGGTCTCACCACTGAAATCAGCAAGGCTATTGTTGCTGCCTCTGTGATGGCTACTGTTGGAGAGGCGAGACTTATGCTGACTCCCAGGGAGACTTCCATCTTCCGATTTATTCTTTCTCAGGCCACGCCCTCTCACCTGCACTACTCCAGGAGAAAGCGAGCGTTGCCGCTGTTGTTGATTGGTATTAGAATAGTCGGACGTGTTGGAACCCCAGCTTGCATCCAATATCATTGAATCTTGGCCAGTTCCAGTATGGCTGCTGTTTGAGAGACGTGTCTTCGGGTGGCTTCCACCAGACACGCCGTTGAAATTGGCAACATCTTGGTGGTGGTCGGCGTTGGAAATCCGGTGGCGATGATGGGTGCTGGGTGGCAAGGCACCATCGTCAGTATTTTTCCTCAAGTCGCGTCTCACAGGAGACAACGACCGAGAATTTCGATGTCTTGCGTCCTCGTCAATGTAGTTTCCGTTGGACACCACTGGAGCTTCCATATGGGTATCCTTCGGTGTCCTATGATTGCTTCCACCATAGGCAAGCATTTTCTTGTGGTGGCTGCTGTTGGCCAACGAAATCTCGGCACATGTATTGCCTCTCAATCCACGTCGTACTGGAGACATCGCTCTTGGGATATCTTGTTTTCCTGTGTTCACGCTTTCAACGCCAGCAGAATCCGATATCGTCTCGTCCTCCGCCCTGTTGCGCAATCCACGTTGTCGAAGTCCACGGACAGGAGAAATCGTCCTGTGATTACTCCTGCTCTTGGTGGTGTGACCACTGCTACCCATGGTTTCCCGTTTCGGTCCACTCAACCCTCTCGCGGATGGCTCCACGACGGCGGCAGGGGAAGGCCATGATGGAGAATCGGTTCCTACAGCAGAAGAATCGGTACCCCCTAGGGAAGATGACATCTCTGAAGGTATTGGTGGCAAAGGACTGAACTATCTCAGTGAAATGCAGACGGGAGCAACACTGAGACTTGTTCTTATCGAAGCTCTTCGGTTCGGAATGTAGATTGTTTTTTGTTGTTTTGACGTCACAGACCATCAATGACCCAAAAATTTCCGAAGTGACCGCACCGGAATGCTGATCAAAACAATGCAGAAGCCTTTCCGGTGCGGTGACTTCGGATTCTTTTTGGCTTTTGATGGCCAATGAAAATCCAACAAACTCCAATGAAATGACCAGCGCCAGTCGACTTTCCTAGAACATAGAAGAAGAAACCAATGATGAGATAAACGTAACAGTAGCATCATTGTCAAAGAATCCCATGTCGTCCAACATACTAGACCATCTCTTTGAAGAGGAAGATGATGACCTCTTGCATGTCTTTTTGATCTCTTGTGGTATCTTGGAATGCCCAGAAACTCCCAACCCATCCCACTTTGAACAAAGATTGGCATGGAGTGAGTACAGTTATCAGCATGTCTTGAGAGGAACTTTTGACAGACGTCTCCGCATGACATTCGAGTCTTTCAACAAACTTTTAGGTCTGATCAGAGAACCATTGCGAGTGAATGAAACCTCAGCAAACTTACGTGGAGGAACAATCCTTCCGGAACTGTGTCTGTATTGTACAATTCGATGGTTATCGGGAGGATTCTACCTGGACATCACGGACGTTTGTGGCATCTCCCACGCTTCTTTTTACAGAGTGGTTTGGAAGACAATCACGGCCAGATGAAATAGGATCTGCTATCGCTGGGTTTGCATCCATCAGTCATCAGGGTGTAATAGATAACTGCGCAGCCGTATTGGATGGGTATCTTATGAGGATCAAGGTTCCCTCGAAAACTGAAGTGAAGAATGTCAAGTCCTTCTTTTCTGGACACTATCAATGTTACGGTGTAAATGTTCAAGCTGCCGTGGACCATCTTTGCCGGTTCGTCTTTATTGCCCTTGCTGGTCCTGGTGTCATGGGTGATAAGGAAGCAATGGGTGAGGTCACGCTAGGCGAATTGGTTGAAGGCCTTCCTTTTGGCATATGTGCAATCGGCGATGCTGCTTACTGTCCACAGAACACTTAGTCCCTGTATACGCTGGAGTTTCCAAGCAAGACAAAAAGTACGACAACTTCAACTACTATGCCAGCCAAGTGAGGATTCGTGTTGAAATGGCATTCGGAATGATGAACCTGAAGTGGGGTATTCTCAACCATCCACTCGGTTGCTCTGTTTCGAATTTGGCTTGGCTCATCCAAGCCATTGGCTCCTTGCACAACTTCTGCATCAACGAGAGGATTCGCAGATCTGAGCAGTCAGGAGAGAGATATGAGGCTCTCGAAGCCGACGAATCACTTCCACGATACGTCCCTACCGTCCCTGAAGATGAGAATGGGGATCCCATCGCACTCGATTCCTTATTGGAGGGCACATCAGCCGGATACTCTCATCTTCGAGAGCACATGGCCAGGACAGTAGCCTCCCGGGATTGGAACGGCCCAAGTTTACTAGTAGCAGGAACAATAAGTCAGATAGTAAGGCCGTCATTGTCCTCTATCTTCTTATTTTGTGTTTCTTTTTCGCAAGTTTCGTTCCACGCCAATATGGAGTTGAGCGCGCAGAACCACCTTGACAGTGAAGAAACGCACTTCCTCATTGGCCAGCGACACTCTCGCAATAGACAATAAAAGCAACTGGTGACTATTCCACTCTCTACTAGTTGTTTTAATGCTACTCTGCTACTCTGCTACTCTGCTACTGTCGATTGCTCTCTGATTGCTCTCTAATACCCATCGGTGATGCTGTTGGTGATACCAAGGTCCTTTTCAATGCTGCGAATACGTACCGCCATGTTGGACAACATGATATCATTATCCGGATCGTCTTCTTTCTTCATTCCGCGGAATTCTTTGCTAAGACGCGTGTACTCTTGCCAGTTGTCGGTGTCAGCTTTGCGCTTTGCTTCAGCCTTCTGTAGATCAATGTACTCTTGCCGCTGCATGAAAGTTTTGTTGTGGTTTTCTTTGATCTGCTCTGTAGCTTCGTCCATCCTCTTTACTACCTCGCGATTGCTCTTGCGTCCACTGCCGTTGCCATCAGAACCAGCGCAACCATTCATTGGAACATTGGAATCGTATTGATGGCACCAGCATCACCAGTCATTGGTACGTGTGAATCAGACTTCATGTTTGTGGCAAGCTGCGCGGCAAATTTGCCATCGATGCCAGGGTATTGCTTGCACAGGATGTGCGTATAGTAAACTGCTTTGGCAGGAAGCGGAGATCCATTTGCTCTCCACTTCAAGTAGGCGGGGTTAGTGGCATAAGTCCAAAAGTCACTCGCATGGTTGCCAAACTTTGTCATTCCACCCAAAGCAAGCTCCCTTGCTTTCATTAGATCGTACACTTTTGTGTGCACGGTCTGATGAGTCTGCGGTTCAAAGTCATTCAGGTTTAACTCAGCAGCATCCACCCATTCAACCAGATGGACGTCGCTGTCAGGCATTTCACTGTTGCTGTTCACAATCTTGGACAAAACTTCATTCATCGAACTGTCATTGTACATGTTGGACACTTCCACCATAAAGGCTTTCACTGGATCCCGACCACTGTTCTCTTCAAACTGTTTCCTCTTGTTCCTGTCATTTAAATCCACAAATCTTTGGACCAACGTAGGATGGAAACATGTCTGAATAATGCGCATGATGTGTTTGTCTTCTTCTCTTGGGCTGTTGTAAAAGGATTGGCGATGGTGTTGTCACTGTAGATTGTCCCAGATTTTGTCCATGCCGCTAACTCCACCCTTGCCTTCCACATTGACATACTTCCAGATCCTTTCAACTTGCATTTAGTTGCCAAAATGAGCAGCTGCTGATGGTTGAAGTCAGCAATATCGTAGCGCTGCTCCTCTGGCTTTCCTTCCTTCAGAACAAGCCATTTGGCCACTGAGTAGTCAGTGTCATCTTGTTTGTTTCGTGGATGCTTCTCATCTTGGCAATTAATGCACTTGCGGTAGTCTGGCTGGAAATTCCCAACTATTTGATCAACCTTTTTCGAGACTTCTTCTTTCTTCTTCAAGTCTGCTTCTTTCGCGGACTTCTTCGCTTCTTTTTCTTGGGCTTTGGCGAGTCGCTTGACTTCGCGGAAAGAAGTACCAATACCAGCAGCACGTTTCTTCTTGCCAGATGCAAACTGCGGTGTCATCACTGCAGCGGGCTCACATCTTGTCACAACCTGCTGTGACATATCCTCCCTTGTTGTTGTTTGTTGTTGTTGTTGTTGTGTTGTGTTGTTTGTTGTTTGTTGTTGTTGTTGTTGTTTTGTTGTTGTTGTTGTTGTGTTGTTTGTTTGTTGCTTTGCTGGTTGGCTTTGCCTAATACCCATGGGCGATGCTGTTATGGATATCAATGGCTTTTTCAATGTTGCGAATGCGTACTGCCATATTGGATAGCATTGTGTCATTGTCCGAATCATTCTCTCTCTTCAACTCGCGGAATTCTTTGCTGAGACGGGTGTACTCATGCCAACTGTCGGTGTCGGCCTTCCTCTTTGCTTCCGCTTTCTGCAAGTCAATGTACTCTTGGCGCTGCAAGAAGGCTTTGTGGTGATTGTCCTTGATCTGTTGGGTTGCCTCATCCATCTTCTTCACTACCTCGCGATTGCTCTTTCGTCCACTGCCATTGCTATTGATGGCACCAGCATCACCAGTCATTGGTACGTGTGAATCAGACTTCATGTTTGTGGCAAGCTGCGCGGCAAATTTGCCATCGATGCCAGGGTATTGCTTGCACAGGATGTGCGTATAGTAAACTGCTTTGGCAGGAAGCGGAGATCCATTTGCTCTCCACTTCAAGTAGGCGGGGTTAGTGGCATAAGTCCAAAAGTCACTCGCATGGTTGCCAAACTTTGTCATTCCACCCAAAGCAAGCTCCCTTGCTTTCATTAGATCGTACACTTTTGTGTGCACGGTCTGATGAGTCTGCGGTTCAAAGTCATTCAGGTTTAACTCAGCAGCATCCACCCATTCAACCAGATGGACGTCGCTGTCAGGCATTTCACTGTTGCTGTTCACAATCTTGGACAAAACTTCATTCATCGAACTGTCATTGTACATGTTGGACACTTCCACCATAAAGGCTTTCACTGGATCCCGACCACTGTTCTCTTCAAACTGTTTCCTCTTGTTCCTGTCATTTAAATCCACAAATCTTTGGACCAACGTAGGATGGAAACATGTCTGAATAATGCGCATGATGTGTTTGTCTTCTTCTCTTGGGCTGTTGTAAAAGGATTGGCGATGGTGTTGTCACTGTAGATTGTCCCAGATTTTGTCCATGCCGCTAACTCCACCCTTGCCTTCCACATTGACATACTTCCAGATCCTTTCAACTTGCATTTAGTTGCCAAAATGAGCAGCTGCTGATGGTTGAAGTCAGCAATATCGTAGCGCTGCTCCTCTGGCTTTCCTTCCTTCAGAACAAGCCATTTGGCCACTGAGTAGTCAGTGTCATCTTGTTTGTTTCGTGGATGCTTCTCATCTTGGCAATTAATGCACTTGCGGTAGTCTGGCTGGAAATTCCCAACTATTTGATCAACCTTTTTCGAGACTTCTTCTTTCTTTTCTTCAAAGTCTGCTTCTTTCGCGGACTTCTTCGCTTCTTTTTCTTGGGCTTTGGCGAGTCGCTTGACTTCGCGGAAAGAAGTACCAATACCAGCAGCACGTTTCTTCTTGCCAGATGCAAACTGCGGTGTCATCACTGCAGCGGGCTCACATCTTGTCACAACCTGCTGTGACATATCCTCCCAACCTCCTGTGCTATCACCTCCGTTCATTAGGAATTGCTGGTAGTTTCGCAGATTCTGGGCTTGGTCCGTGCAAGGAGTAAATGGTAAGCCAAGCGAGAAGCGACCTTTGGCGGCATCATTTGTTGTTGTTGTTGTTGTTGTTGTTGTTGTTGTTGTTGTTGTTGTTGGTTGTTGTTTGTTGTGATGATGATGATTGATGATGATGATGATGAATGATTGATGATGATGATGATGATGTGATGATATGATTGATGATGATGATGATTTGACTGCGATGTATGATGTGATTGATGATGATGGATGATGATTGATGCGGCGGTGACTGTGGATGGAGGAGTGTCATCCCTAATCCCCATCAACTGTTTCTGTTTGGCGATCCTCGCTTCTTTGTTGGCAGCCCTCAATTCTTTCTTGTGGCCTGGGTTGGTTTGGTACATAAACGCATCCTCAGACCATGTTGTTTCTTGCGAACAGTAGCTTGGCAGTGGACACAATGTTCTCTCTGCGATTTCCTCCTCTTTCTTCATCTGACTCAGATAGGTCATCATCATCATGAATAGAAGGGCGCGCCACAGGCTGGCGGTCAAGGGTAAGAGCTATGCGTTTGCTGGTAGCATCACTGTCATTGTCATTATCCTCCGAAGAGGGAGAAGAAAGCGTCATCTTGCTATTGCTTTCTTCTCTTCTTAAGCGAGTGAACTCCTGTATTGGCTGGACAACTAGTAAGACAATAACATTAATATCTTAATTCCTTATTAAAAGCTTATGCTGCAAGCGCAACCGTCCTACTACTAGTATCTCCATACTTTCTATCTTAGTTTCTTGCACGATCATCTACCCTTTCATTGCACATTTCGACGCAAATTCCAATGAAAGGGTAGATGATCGTGCAAGAAACTAAGATAGAAAGTATGGAGATACTAGTAGTAGGACGGTTGCGCTTGCAGCATAAGCTTTTAATAAGGAATTAAGATATTAATGTTATTGTCTTACTAGTTGTCCAGCCAATACAGGAGTTCACTCGCTTAAGAAGAGAAGAAAGCAATAGCAAGATGACGCTTTCTTCTCCCTCTTCGGAGGATAATGACAATGACAGTGATGCTACCAGCAAACGCATAGCTCTTACCCTTGACCGCCAGCCTGTGGCGCGCCCTTCTATTCATGATGATGATGCATCCTATCTTGATGAAGATGGTGAAGAAGAGGAGGAAATCGCAGAGAGAACATTGTGTCCACTGCCAAGCTACTGTTCGCAAGAAACAACATGGTCTGAGGATGCGTTTATGTACCAAACCAACCCAGGCCACAAGAAAGAATTGAGGGCTGCCAACAAAGAAGCGAGGATCGCCAAACAGAAACAGTTGATGGGGATTAGGGATGACACTCCTCCATCCACAGTTCACCGCGCGCATCTTCATTTCTATCATCATCATCATCAATCATCATTCATCATTCCATTCATCATTCATCATCATCATCATCATTCATCATCATCATCTATCATCATCTTTGCTATCATCATTTCATCATCATCATCTATCATCATCATCACAACAACAACAACAACAATCAACAACACAACAACAACAACAAAACAACAAAACAACAACAAACAAATTGATGCCGCCAAAGGTCGCTTCTCGCTTGGCTTACCATTTACTCCTTGCACGGACCAAGCCCAGAATCTGCGAAACTACCAGCAATTCCTAATGAACGGAGGTGATAGCACAGGAGGTT